GTATGGCTCCAGTCATGTAAAATTCTAGGAAATCTGATAACTTCTGACATATGTGTCCATCCATGAAACCCTCACCACAATTAAGATAATGAATATATCCATTACCCTCAAAAGTTCCCTCGCATCCTCTTATGATCCCTCCCTCCCACCCTGTCTCCTCACTTCCCATCCCCAGGCAACCACTGATCTGCTTCTGAGTCACTATAGATTAATTTGCATTTCCTAGAATTTTATATAAGTGGAACCATACGGTACCATTTTGCATCCTCACTAGCAGTGTATGAGAGTTGCACTTAATACACATCCTCTCCAACACTTGCTGTGGTCGGTATTGTTCATTTTAGCTATTCTCATGGCCACATAGTGGTTTTAATTTCCATTTTGCCAGTGACTCATGATTTGAATGTCTTTCACATATTTGTTTAGCATTTTCGTTTATCTTTGATGACTTGTCTGTTCAACTCTTTTGCCCATTTTAAAAAATTGGATTGTTTGTTTTCTTATTGAGTTTTGAGAGTTCTTTATGTTTTCTGGATCCAAAACCTTTATCAGACATGTGATTTGCTAATGTTTTCTCCCAGTTTGTGGTTCGTTTTTTAAATTTTTGTAATGATGTCTTTCAAAGAGCAGAAGTTCCTAATTGTAACCAAGTCCAACTTATCATTTTTTCTCTTATGATCATATCTAAGAAATGTTTGCCCAATCTAAAGTCACTAATGTTTTCTCATGGAAGTTTTCTTTTAGAAGTTTTATAGTCTTATGTCTTACATTTAGGCCGATGATCTGTTTGAGGGAATTTTTTTTAATGGCATGAGATGCGAAACAAAGTTCTTTTTTTTTTGGCATATGATTATCCAATTATTCCTGCACCTTTCATTGAAAAAAAAATCATTTTTGCACTAATTTACCATTGTGATTTGTTGAATATCAGTTGACCCTGGATGTCTGGCTTCATTTATGGGCTTCCTACTCAGTTCTAATAATTTGTCAGATTGCGTCCTGCTTTTATTCTGGAACTTAATGGGTTTTGTTTGGTAGTTCAACAAAAAAATAGGGGACTTCCCTGGTGGCACAGTGGATAAGACTCTGTGTTCCCAATGCAGGGGGCTGGGGTTCGATCCCTGGTCAGGAACTAGATCCCACATGCATGCTGAAACTAAGAGTTTGCATGCCACAACTAAGACCTGACACAACCAAATAAATAAATAAACTAATTAATTAATTTTAAAAATAGAAGGCTTTTTAAAGAGATTATCACTCACACTATTGGACAAACCATTACTGGAGATTAATCGATCATTATTGGAGAAATTTTTAATAGAGATTGATGTTTGGTTTTATTGGGGGTTGTTTTTAAATAATCTAATCAATATTTGATAATCTATCTACCAAATGTCTCAAAAGGATTAATGGGGCTTTTTTGGAGGGGGAAGGTAAAGCAACCTTTGCAATCCTGAAAAGAAAAATATTACATAAAACAAATAGTATTGGCACAAAAACAGAATAGAGATCAATGGAACAGGATGGAAAGCCCAGAGATAAACCCACGCGCATATGGTCACCTTATCTTTGATAAAGGAGGCAGGAATGTACAGTGGAGAAAGCACATCCTCTTCAATAAGTGGTGCTGGGAAACCTGGACAGCTACATGTAAAAAGAGTGAAATTAGAACATTCCCTAACACCACACACAAAAATAAGCTCAAAATGGATTAAAGACCTAAATGTAAGGCCAGAAACTATCAAACTCTTAGAGGAAAACATAGGCAGAACACTCTATGACATAAATCACAGCAAGATCCTTTTTGACCCACCTCCTAGAGAAATGGAAATAAAACCAAAAATAAACAAATGGGACCTAATGAAACCTAAAACCTTTTGCACAGCAAAGGAAATCATAAAAATGAAAAGACCACCCTCAGAATGGGAGAAAATATTTGTAAATGAAGCAACTGACAAGGGATTAATCTCCAAAATTTACAAGTAGCTCAATATCAAAAAAACAAACAGCCCAATCCAAAAATGGGCAGAAGAACTAAATAGACATTTCTCCAAAGAAGATATACAGACTGCCAACAAACACATGAAAGGATGCTCAACATCACTAATCATTAGAGAAATGCAAATCAAAACTACAATGAGGTATCACCTCACACCAGCCAGAATGGCCATGATCAAAAAATCTAGAAACAGTAAATGCTGGAGAGGGTGAGGAGAAGAGGGAACCCTCTTGCACTGTTGGTGGGAATGTAAATTGATACAGCCGCTATGGAGAACAGTATGGAGGTTCCTTAAAAAACTAAAAATAGAACTACCTTAAAAAGTAAAAATAGAACTACTATGACCCAGCAATCCCACTACTGGGCATATACCCTGAGAAAACCATAATTCAAAAAGAGTCATGGACCACAATGTTCATTGCAGCTCTATTTACAATAGCCTGGACACGGAAGCAACCTAAGTGTCCATCGACAGATGAATGGATAAAGAAGATGTGGCACATATATACAATGGAATATTACTCAGCCATAAAAAGAAGCGAATTTGAGTTATTTGTAGTGAGGTGGATGGACCTAGAGTCTGTCATACAGAGTGGAGTAAGTCAGAAAGAGAAAAACAAATACTGTATGCTAACACATATATATGGAATCTAAAAATAAAAATGGTTCTGATGAACCTAGGGTCAGGACAGGAATAAAGATGCAGATGTAGAGAATGGACTTGAGGACACGGGGAGGGGGAAGGGTAAGCTGGGACGAAGTGAGAGAGTAGCATGGACATATATACACTACTAAATGTAAAATAGATAGCTAGTGGGAAGCAGCCACATAGCACAGGGAGATCAGTTCAGTGCTTTGTGACCACCTAGAGGGGTGGGGTAGGGAGGGTGGGAGGGAGATGCAAGAGGGAAGAGATATGGGGATATATGTGCACATATAGCTGATTCACTTTGTTTTACGGCAGCAACACACCATTGTAAAGCAATTATACTCCAATAGAGATGTTAAAAAAAATAGTATGAATAGTGACTCTGCTGTTTTTAACTAGAGGAAATGGTTTTCTTTTATTGGTTCACTGAAACATGAATGATTGAGTTTATCAATAAAGTATATTTTAGTTGGGGCTTCAAAGATTTAAAATTTCCTTAATTTCCCTTACATTTCAATCTGTGTTCATAGAAGCACATCATTCCACAAATTACCAAATAAATGCTCAAATGTATCATATTAATGGATATCAATATTTTAAATAGTGTTTTTCTACTTTGTAAGAGTCGATGCCCTATAGTGGCATATCCCTGGCTATTCAGAATAAGGGGGTTGATTTGGGTCCTGGCAACCTATAATCATAGGATGTACAACAAAATTGCCCTTATATTTGGTTAGTGCTTTCTGTCACTTAATTTGCATATATGTAGATATTTTATCCAGCTGCTGAGAGTTTAAATGGTAGCACTGTAACACTTACGCTGCACTGAAAGAAGCTGATTTGAACAAATTAGACCACATGCATTTTCCATGTATGATTTTGCTACAGCTCCACGTTGCAAAACAGGAAGTTTATAAAAACAGGGAAGACTAGAAGTAGGAGGCATTTTTCTACTTATATAATTGTCTGACTTTTATTTTTATTATTATTATTATTATTTTTTTGCGGTACACGGGCCTCTCACTGCTGCGGCCTCTCCCGTTGCGGAGCACAGGCTCCAGACACGCAGGCTCAGCGGCCATGGCTCACGGGCCCAGCCGCTCCGCGGCATGTGGGATCCTCCCGGACCGGGGCACGAACCCGTGTCCCCTGCATCGGCAGGCGGACTCTCAACCACTGCGCCACCAGGGAAGCCCATAATTGTCTGACTTTTTTTTTTTTTTTTTACCATCTTTATTGGGGTATAATTGCTTTACAATGGCGTGTTAGTTTCTGCTTTATAACAAAGTGAATCAGTTATACATATACGTATGTTCCCATATCTCTTCCCTCTTGCGTCTCCCTCCCTTTGTCTGACTTTTGATTGTGGATAATCTCTGCCTGTTTTCTCATCTATAAAATGGGAATGATTCCACTGGTAATACAGAGATATTGTGAGATTACAAGGTCTGTCACGTGACAGGTGGGAGAAGTTAGGCAGTAATGCATCACATTTCTACAGAGTTTGGCTGTTTTTAAAGAACTTTCACAATCATTTTGACAATTTGAATCTCCCAGTTAACAAGGTAGGCAGGTGGGAATCAATAACTCCATTTCATGACTTCTAAAGGTGATTGAAAGATTAGAATAATGAAAGTAACCATTGAAAAATAAGTGTCCAGGTATTCAGTATAATTTATTATAATGTAAGGCATATGTCTGTGTGAGTATTTTCCTCTGTTCAATTCTGTAGACTTATGAATAATAGCAGAAAATGATTTAAACTGTTTGTTTAAAAGGTAATGTGACATCATGTTATAATCCTCGTGACCATATTCTTTTGTATTCTATTTTTATAAGAGTAAAATGTGCTGCCTATTTGGGGAAGAGGGGGGTGACCTGAAAGAGCTCACATCTGTTCTGAGAGGACTGAGGATGGCGGAGGAATTGGGGTGACACGGGGAAGAAAGATCTGGCAGCTTGGGCAGGGCAGCGGCTATGGAGTGTGGGAAAGCAGGCACAGGCTCGCGCTGGGGAGGGACGGCGCTGAGAATGAGGCCATCACGGAGGAGATGATGCACAGACGGCTGCATGAGCAGAGGGAACAGGGAAAGTTGGAGGAAGTAGCTCGGGGTCTGCTGTCTGCTGCTTCCATTGTTGTTCCAAGTGGATAAAAGGAATTCAACAGATGTGAGGAAGAGGAAGGGGGGGAGGAGGCAGGGAAAGGGGACAGACCGTGGGACGACTCAAAGGACAGTTCATTGTTTGTAATGAGCTCCCAAGAGTTTGGTTGTAGAATCTTAATCATAAGATCTGTGGGATGATTCCAAGAGGCAGTTTCACAAGGCCCCAAATGCAGAGTATGAAAGGGGAAGAATTTCAGGAGTTGATCATTCCAATCTATTGCTCAAGGAGTCTCTAAAAGAAAAGAGGAAGACTCTTGGCAGAAGGCTGTCACAATGCCAGGGGACTGCCGAGGACAGAGTCTCTCTTCTTATCACTGAGATGTGAAATGGTTGCTGAAGATTTCATAGTTAAGTAGCTAAAATGAATTGCAGAGTTCCCTCAGTGGAGTGAGAGAATGAACAGGAACAGGGTGAAGAGGGGAAAGTACATGTGAAGAAGAACCATGGTGAGTAGAAGTGGGATTCTTCTGGGATGCATTACCTGGGGTAGAGAGAGACTGTGGATAGAATAAAAAATAATATGTCTCCATCAGTACCCATCCTGAGAAAAGCAAGCGTTAAGTTGCTTCACACAAAACTGCTGCTTTGAGGACGAGAGCAGGGGTGGGTTTGGAAATGAAGCTACTCAGTGTTTGCTGACCACCCAGCAGGGCAAGGGTTGTAGGAAGCACTCGCTGAAAATGTACAGGTGTCTGAGACTCCTCACGTGCAGCAGTCCACTAGCTTAGGTCAGCAACACTCTGTGTTAGAAGAAATCAAGTTGCTCAGCCTCCTTCATATCTGTCCTTTCTCACACTTCCCAAGTGTCCTCAGGGTTTCATCTGTGATGAAAGATAATAGTGTCCATGATCCCATCTCACACACACACACACACACACACACACACACACACACACACACACCCCACGGTGTTTTTGAAAAGCAGATGCGATCATGAACATAAAGCAACCAGCACATGGTAGGACCTCGACATGGATTAGACTGTAAGCCCACAGGGACTGCTTTGGTTATTTACTGTTGACTCTCCAATGCCTAGCACCGTGCCTGGCAAATAGTGAGCGTTCAACATACATAGGTGGGATGGAGGAGTAAAGGAACGACTCTTCACACCACCATCACGGCTCAGGTCCTTAACCTTCTTGTAGGTCTTCTTGGCTCCAATGTCACCTCTAATTTAGTCTCCAAAATGCCCCCAGAGTTTTCTAAAACACAAATCTGGTAACATCATTTCCTGCCTAGTTTTGAAGAGGCTCGCCATCCCGCCACAGATAAAACCCCTCTCCTCAGCATGGCTTAGAAAGACTTTCATCTCTGGCCCACGTTTGCTTCTCTTTTCAGAAAATCCCTTCAGAGCTTGGGGCTCCTTGACACAAGATAATTCTTCCTCCTCAAGGTACATTGATTAGGAGGTGAATTTTGCGGCCGAAAACACAAACCTACTCGCATTGGCTTAAATAGTCTTTTTTCTCTCACATAGCAAGGAATCTAGAAGTGGGCAGAGCTCGCTGAGCTCTCGGTTTGTAACGGACTCAGGTTTCTTCTTAGCTTCCACTCGCCATTGAGAAACTGCAACCACCTACAGTAGAGTGAGTGGGACTCAGAACGGGGACCACCCGTGTCAACTGCTGGCTTAAAAAAAAATGAGAATTTGGGAACAAAGACTGGATGTGGAAATGCTCAACCAAGCATGGCTTAGTTGTTGGTTCTAGAAAACTTCGCCCAAGGAAGTAACTAACCAATGTTGCTTCAGGAGATTTCTGCCTGTCAGTGTATCTGAGGCCACAGTCTGCTCACTTGGGCAAACAGGTCACTTTCAGCAACAGTTTTCTTATCAAGACTCTCTGCTGAGACTGTCAAGGGGGCGTGCTCCCCTCCTGCAACGCGTTCTAATCAACTGAATGTTGCTATATTAACAGGTTGCCTGGTGATATTTGGGGGATTTCAATACCTTCCTTAGCTTGTGCTTTCTGTCCTCTATTCAGAGATAACATATTTTTATCCCAGGTTCAAAGAAATGGGGAAGGGTAAAGGGTAGAAAGCACATGCCAACAAAATCTTACCTTTTATTAACAACTTGGATTGTTGAAAAGTGAGGGCTGCAGGACCACACTCTGCTGTTAGGAAGACCAAACTGGTTTCCTTTGTCCCGTAAAATGACCCTCAGAGTGGGATGTGTCCTCCTAAGTCAGGCTCCTATCTTCTTATCCTGGTATTCTCTCAGTGCCTAATGCCCTCAAGTCCCTTGAGGGACCTGCCCTCAAGGATGTGTTCAGAAAAAGATGGTTGGATGACATAGAAAATTTGCATGGAGTGAAATACCTCCAATGTGGAGCTCTTTAGACTGGAATTGTCAAAAATAACTACTGACCGCGCCCCCCCCCCCCCCAGTACCTGCAGCAACTATAAAAATATATATCCTAAGCTAGGCCTCCCTGGGATGGCCTCTGTGCATTTATAAGGCTACGATAGTGAGAGAACCAGCTCCGAGGAATCTGGATCCTCGAGAGCTTCGAATTCTCAGTGGTGGCTTAGGGAGACCCCGTGTTTAAAAAGAAACCTTTTGCCAATTTCAAATCTAGCATGTGCTTAGCGCAGAAATTTACACATTGTTCAATGAGAACTCTCCCTCCCCAGCGTCCATAAGCCTGTCCACCACACTTCCCACCAGAGAGTACTGTAGGTAATACTCCATTTATATCCTTTCAGAGTTTTCAATGCATTCAGAAACATGTGTACATACAAACCAAACTAAAAAATAATTTATGTTATATAAATCTTATCACATAAAATTTCCCGCAAGTTCGTTTCTTTCTATTATTTTTTAGAGAAGCTTCCATGCCAGCACGTGCAGTTCAGCTAATTCCCTTTAGTCACTGCAGTTTCTACTGCATGAAGGCATCTAACGTGCATAACTCAGTCTGCCCCCTGAGCTGCCATTTTCCCCTCCTCCCCATTTTTTCCCTTTCCTTCTTTTCCTTTGGCTGTTACAAACAATTCTATAGTAAACTTCTTTGTACCCAAGTTTCTTTTCTAACAATTTTCCTTCTTTCAAGGTTTGTCAATGTGACGGGTAAAATGTGCGATCTCCTTGTTTCTTTCACTTGCATTTCCTTCCTATGAATGAGGTGGAGCATATTTTAGTCTGTTGGCCATTTATGCTTCTTCTGTGAACTGTTTAGATCTGTGCCGTCCAACATGATAGCCACGAGTCAAGTGTGGCTATCGAACACTTGAAATGTGCTAGCCTGAACAGAGATGTGCTATTGGCACAAAATACGCACGAGAGTTCAAAGAGTTAGTCTACGGGTATAAAATACTGCATTCATATTTTTATATTGATAACATGTTAAAATAATATTATACACATGCTGCTTTCGATAATTTTCATATGGCTACTGAAAAATTTTAAATTACGTATGTAGCTCACATGATATTCCTGCTGGACAGGAGATGGTTTCGATTTTTCGTTTAGGTGGGTTATTATCTTTTTCTTAGTGATTTATAGGAGCTCTTGATATATTGTTAGTACCTATCCGTTGACCACTGTATTTGCAGCAGATGTTTCTTCTCAGTCTGTAACTTAATTTTTAACTTGAATTATGGAGTTTCTTGCCATACAAAAATTGTTCTTAAGAATCTGTCCATTGTTTCCTTTATCGCCTCCAGGTTTTGTGTCTTGCTAAGGAAATATTTCACCATGTCCAGATTACAAAAATAACTTCCTGTATTTCTGTAAAGTCATTTCTTTCTTTAATGGTTGCCTCTTTCAGGCATCTGGAATAATTTTTTTTGTTCGATGTGAGATAGCAAGTTTTAAAACTTTTTATTAAATCATAGGATAGAGAATTGCACCCCTTCCTTTCCTCACTGATGTAAATGAATTGCTTCCTTCCATGTAATTCAATATTTCTGTAACAGGTGAAACATTTTGAACTCTTTCTTCCATCTCACTAATATATTTGATTATTCCTGCACCAGAATCTCACTATTTTAAATACCAACATTTTAGAGATTGCTTCTATATTTAGGAGACTAAGCTTTTTCAAGAATTCATTCATGGGCATGTTCTTTCCCAACAAACTTCAGAATCAGCTTGCCAACGTCGACATAAAGTCCTGTTCGAATTTTGATTCAGATTGTGTTGAGTGTATAGACTACTTTAGGAGAGAACTTACACCTTTACAATATTAAATACATGTAAGCAGGAACAAGATACATCTCTCCATTTATTCATGTCTTTCAAAAAGTGCATCAGGGGGCTTCCCTGCTGGCGCAGTGGTTGAGAGTCCGCCTGCCGATGCGGGGGACACAGGTTCGTGCCCCGGTCCGGGAAGATCCCACATGCCGCGGAGCGTCTGGGCCCATGAGCCATGGCCTCTGAGCCTGCGCGTCCGCAGCTTGTGCTCCGCAACGGGAGGGGCCGCAACAGTGAGAGGCCCGCGTACCGCAAAAAAAAAAAAAAAAAAAGTCCATCAGTAGAGTTTTACACCTTCCTTAATATATGCCTTGCTCATTATGTTTCAGGCTTTTTGTTAATTATTTTATTGTTCCTGTTGCCGTCGTGAATCAATGTCGCTATTTTTTCTCTGCATTTCATAATTTTGTTGATTTTGTATCCAACAACTTAACCTTCTTTGGATCTGTTAGTTTTTCACTTAATTCTCTTTGCTTTTCTAAATACACGATTATCTGATATACAGTACTAGGGCTGGCTGATCCTACTAGCTCAAGAGGGTCAATTGTTAAGTTTTCAGGAATCTGGTGGGGTGATTGGTAAATACAGTCATTAATAAAAAGTAAATTATATAAGTCTACGGTTAAGCAGATCATATTAAAAACAAAGATGATAAACGCGCAAACTCATCATGCCCGAATTACTTCGCTTCCCTACGCTCTTCCCCCGCCCCCTTTCCTGTGCCCGGGGAAGAGGTGGACACGGGGTCGAGGGGCAGGTGAAGAAGGGGGCGGAGTCAGGGTTGGGCCTGGGCCCTAACCCACCGCGTGGGGCGTAGGGCCCCGACCCCAGAAGGCCGGCCGGCTCTGGTAGGTGCTCCGCGGAAGCCGTGCTTTCTGGCCTTCGTCTCCTCGGCCTCAGGGCCCCGCGCCATCTGTGAACCGCTCCCCTTCGGGCTCACAGCCGGCTCGTCCGCGCATGGGAGCGGCTGCTCGGGGGCCTCCTTGGGGGCCGGGGAGTGCTCTGGTCCTCTGGCCCCCAGCACCGCTGCTCCTGCAGGCGGAAGGCAGCGGCTCGTCCCTCGGGGGTCTCCTGGCTCGGGCCACCCCAGGCTGCGGGCCCTCCTCCTTCCCCGTTCCCACAGTCCGCGCAGCGTCTTCCGAAGCCCCCAGGCTTCGGCCAGCGCGCCTGGGCCTGCGCCAGCCAACACCTGGGGAAGAGCTCCGGGGAACGCCCGCCGGGGGGCGCTCCTCCGCAGCCCGGCTGCCTGCC